AAAGAGATCAACTACTCTGTTGAAATGATTAAACTTTCTTTATTATCATCAACTCTTTTTAGAGTTCCCCTAACTCGATCAGAGTTTTAAAACTTGTTTACCAAGTTCTTTTCAACTCTTCCAAAGAGTTTCTTAACTCGGCTAGAGTTTTAAAACTTGTTTACCAAGTTCTTTTCAACTCTTCCAAAGAGTTTCTTAACTCGGCTAGAGTTTCAAACTTGTTCAAACAAGTTCTCTTCAAAATCCTACGGGACTAGAATTTTTGGGAGAGATCAAACCACCAAGAGGGTTGATCGGTTTTTTTAGCAGAGAAACCGCATAGGGTTGAGGTGAGCTGGTATCAAAACCGCCCAAGATCAACAAATCTCAGCAGTTCAACAGCAGGAAGAAGGAGATCTTTTGAAGATCAAAGAACTGATCAACGATCAGTTAATCAAATCCCGAAAGATCCTTCCATCAAGGGTATCATCCAATTGGCAATTAACCGAATCTTCGGTTCCAACAACTCTGTTACAGAGTTTCAACTCATTCTGAGTCCTTAAACTCGTCAAGAGTTCTTAATTAACTTGCAACACAAGTTAATCACATCAAACAAAACATTCGGTTTTTCAACAACTCTTGTCAGAGTTCTTAACTCATTCTGAGTTCTTTATACTCGTCAAGAGTTCTAAACCGAATTCATCAAGCAATTCAATCGGTTTCATGAGATAGGACGGTCGGATCGTCAACGGAGAGCAAGTTCGACGCGATCAATCGAAGGAGGTACTCCACCGCTACCAAGAAGAACCCAGTTTTAAACAAAGGGGAGAATCAAATTCATTCTCCTCTCTTTTGTAATCGGAATCCAAATTGTAATCGATTTTGAGAGGAATACAAGTCAAAATTTTCTTTTATTGTCTTTTTACTGCAAATTTCCAACAAACACCCATGATAGACATAATAGCTATGTCTACATTGTATTGATTTTTTCCCACAAAGATTTTTAACTTTTTAGGAATATCAATATACTCCAAGAACTTCACCAACATAACTGCATCTACAAATTCTGTACAAGCATTTGTAAGAGAATCAAGTTCTACTAGATCTGCAAAAGGTTTGACCATTAACTCAAATGATTCCTTATTCCACAAATGTGGAGGAACATTCTTCAGTTTAATCCAAACACAGGAATTTCTTTTTTCCACAACATTTCCTTCCCAAGCACTCCATCTCCTGAATTTAATCTTGCACGGTCTTAAAGTAATAATTCCCATCTTAATCAGATCTTCCATTTGCTTCCATGGTTGAATTTTCACTAAAACTTTACCATTTGTGAACAGTCTAACATCCCAATGTTTATTCATAGGAAAAAATGCTCTAAGATCCAGCTCTAGCCTTTCTAGTGTAACATTACCTCCTTCAACAAACGAAACTATTGCAAAGTTTCTAAACTTTTGAAAACCAGAATTTACCTCCCCCTCGAAATTGAGGACCGCTGCAGCAAAACGAGGGCGATCACATGAGATTTTAAGTTCTGCTTCCAAATCTCCAAAGTCCCTAAGACCTTGATCTTGAAAATTCAAACAAGAATCTTGCAATTTTTCTTCATCCACAGCAAAAAGAGGCTTTTTACCCTTATTAAGAAGGGGATTGACAGAAACTTGCTCAACTTTTCTTGAAGACGAAAAGGTAGATGCCGCTCTCCTCCATTGCCAAGGATTCGAGCGATTAGATCTCCCAGGATGACCTCCAGATCGTCCACCAGAACCTCTTCCTCCAGGAAAATTTCGACCTCCAAAATTACGACCTCGACCTTCAAGATTCTGACCACGACCACCATTATTATGACCACGACCACCATTATCCCACCCTCTATACTCAGATCCATGACCCATGATTCCAGATCTACAATTTCTCGCCTCATGCCCCAATTCTTGGCATCTTAAACACACAATTGGATCTCTGCAGTCCTTCGTCATATGATTTGAACCTCCACACCGAAAGCACAACCTATTTCGACAAATAAAATCTGCAGAAAGAGAACGAGGACGAGGAGCAGCGAATATTTTTGGGGGAGGCTGAGATCTAGGCTTCTTCTTTACCACTTTAACCCACTCACCATCCTCCTCCGTCGTTGATTTATCTCGATTATCGGTCTCAACAATCTCAGCCGCTGAAATAAACTCAACCCGAGAATCATTGTTAACCCTAGTTTCCAAAGAACTGGGCTTGGGCTTGGGTTTGAACAGAGAATCAGGAAAAAGAGATGGATTGGACTCACCCCAAATCCTATTTGCCATAAAATTGGTAGTCTCTACTGGGACAATCAAAAAATCCGAAAAAACTCCAAATTTATCCATGCTATTTCTTTTCTTTTTGCCTTTTCTCTATTTTTTTTGAAGGAAAAGAAGCTACCTGAATCCTCTCTAATCCAAGCCGAAACAAGATTCAACGATCCTAGGGCTCTGAGACTTATCGAAGCTCTTGATCTCAAAATACTCCATCGAATTCTTCTTCAATGGGTCGAATTGAGGTCAAGGATGATTCTGCGTCCAGAGGAAATTTTTTGTTTTATTAATTTAAGCTAGCTAATTAACTCAGTTTGGGTAGAAAAATGATTAAATCGATCTAACTAACCATAAAACTATATTAGTCAGATATCTTCCTTAAATTTTTTTGGGGGGCGGGGTGGGGGTGGGGGGTTCCACAAAAAAGAACCAGTTTCTTTATATACAAGGTGTGTTGTTTCTTAACGTGCGTAATAAAAAATTAAAAAGGTTAATCAGTAAACCCTTCATTTTACGTGACTAAACTTGACTCCATGTAAATGGATTACTTTAATTGTTTTGTTTTCTTTTGTTATATGGTAAATTAATAGTTTTTCTTAATAGAGCGGCGGTAGGAATCATGGTGTGTGATCTGTACTGTAAAATGTTGAGGCAAGGCTACGTGAAAGACTCAGAGAGATTCAAAGTGGTCTGAATCGTTTCCTTACTTTGCACATTGCGGAAACTTAGTGCAGCAGGTCACTCAATAGTTTAAGTGCAATTAATGTGTCTCCTTCTCTTCTCCCTCTATCATATCAAACTCTTTTCATGTATTATGACTCATTAAGAGGAAGGAAAGAAAAAAAAGGGGGGACTATGACAAAAATCCACTTAGCGACTCTCTTCAATAGAGCGATAAGTCCTCAAAATTGCTTCCATAGCAATATTATGTCCAAGTTGCAGCCGTGACAAGAATCGCATCCTTCTAGCTTCTATTGAGAAATTAAAGAAGTTGTATTCCTAAATTTAGTTATATATCGATTATGGCTTTGATCGAATGTAATTAACGTCATATCGTTATTGCATGCAGTAACTCGCATCCAACAAAAATAAAATTCAAATAACTCAAGATTAATTATGCACATGGCTTTGGTTCCCTTAAAAATAAAAAATGAAAAATCAATAGGAGATAACGTAAGGTTTGAACTGTCAGTATGAGCTATGTATAATATGTTCGTAGACGAGCATAAAACTTATGTGGCAGGGCACATTATTTGCTAAAAATAACCACTTGATCAAGAAAACCCTACTTTATTATTATTATTCTTATCGAGAAAACCCTACTTTATTATTATTATCGAAGACTATCAACATTTCTGTCTGTAGGCTGGAATTAGTCACAGTAACCAATTCTCACGTGCAATGCGTGTGAGGCCGGCGGAGCCAAAATGAAACATGCTAATGCTCCAATCTCCTCTTTATACATGTCCAAAACAAAAAAAACAAAAAAAAAAACAGAAAATTAATAATCAAAATAAATGTGAACATTCACCCTAATAAATATTAAGTAGATGGTAGAAAAACAAAAACACAGAGAGAAAAGTTCAAAGCTTTTGTCTGGAACAATGTAGGGAACTTCCAGTCCTCTGTCGGGCCTGGATGCCTCCGAAAGGAGCACAGTTTTCCAGCTGGAGAGAAATTTCACCGCTGATTTTCTTTTTGTTTACTTTCTCGTTTCATAGATCCATACGCACGAGCCCGGTTTTAAATTTACTTCGCTAAAGTAAAGGGTTTAGTGAAATAAATTAAAGCGGATTAAACTCTGATTCTAGTTTGACAAAAAACTGGTCTAGAATTTAAATTGATTTTGTTAAGCTAATTTTTCACTGGTTTCGTTTTGGTCTACCCCTGTTCAAAAGCTAAATCGATGTGAACCAATATATACTTCAGATAAACTAACAAGTTGATCCACTCTATTTTCTGTTTACAAAACTATATAAATATATAACAACTTGATAAATTTTAATTACTTTGACTATTTTGGACTCTGAAATGCAATAAATAAAACTTTTAAATATTATATTTCTCGATAAAAGAAAAGAATAGTGGCATCTGTCTTTCACAACTATTTTATCAGCATTTGATACTTTATATTTTTAGAAAAATTAATAGAGGGCAATCTCTTCTTCTAATTAATTTATAAATATTGAGCTCTATACATTCATTGAGGAATTACAAGCGCTACTAAAAATATAATTGAGAGAAACTATCTGCAGTTTACTTTAATTGTAACAATCAAATGCATTTGAAAACCTCACTAGAAAAAAAAGACAATGCGCTGTAAACGTGTTGATAAAAAAATTATGTATCTATCAGAACCCTTCTCCTAACACAAGCATTTAACTTAGAATGTTTCACACCGTACAGAACGTTATAATACGATTCTTACTCTGGACATACTTGCGGTAACATCCAAAAAAAATCCCTCCACCTACCTTCTACTTCAATCCAAAAACTCCAAAACAAAAGGAAAGGGAAAAGGAGGAGGGAAAACCACGAACAAAATTAATTAATCCTCCCCACATAGAAAAAGAAAAATTTACAGAACTTCTCAATGAAATGCAATGCAAATTCTGAAAAAAGAGCAGAATCTTTCCGTAAAGTCCCTATCCATAATAATCCATATAAGGTAATTATCCAAATAAAACTCCATAAACCGTAACTACAACTGCTAACACTATTTAAAAAAACAAACCCAACAACAAAAAACCGAAGTAATTTTTACTCTCTCCCCTTCTCTATTTCTCCCCTCAAAACCTCTCAAAACTAAGTGAAGATTTCTTGCGAGCAAAGCTCTGATGACATCGCCATTAGAGGAACACGACTACATAGGCCTCTCCGAGGTCTCCTCCAACGGCTCCGCCATCTCCTCCGCCTCCTCCTCCGCCGCCGCCGGCGACGACAAGCTCACCAACCTCAAGCAGACGGAGCTCCGCCTGGGGCTGCCTGGATCCGAGTCCCCTGAGCGGGTTAGCGGGTCGGGTCTCACTCTCGGTATCGGCATCAAGGGGTTCGGGTCTGGGTCCAAGAGGGGATTCTCTGATGCGCTCGATGGGCGAGCGAAATGGGTTTTTAGTGGGAGCTCTGGATCCGAACCCAACAAGGGAGAGAGCAGTGAGAGAGCTAAGGATGTGGAGAAGAAGCCCATGCCCAATTCTGCTCCTGCTGCTAAGTAAGCTTAGTCTTATTTTATTTTGGTTTTTTGCAACCTGGGCTTTGATGGGTTTTATGTGATTTTTCAGCAACTGGGTATTTCTAGTGTTGAATTTTAACGGGCATAACTTTTTTGTCCCTTTTTTCCTTGATGAACTACTGGTAGCAGGCAGATAATTTCTCTATAAGGGTGAGAATATGACTGTGTTTTGCTTGATTTAGGGTTTGTGTGAGAGTTGTTGACTGCAATTGCTTGTTAGTGGATTTTATCTTGAATGCAGATTCTGTGTTTGAGGGAGTATTTGATTTCCTATCAAATTTACAGGAGTTAGCTCGATTTCCTTTTTATGGTGGTGGTTTTTTTTTTAACTGGGTTTTGTTGGGTTTTTATTTAAATTTTTAGTTGGGAGGGAGAAATTGATAGAAGTTTGGTTAGTCCTGTAGCAACTGCATATTTCAAGTGGTGATTTTGAGTGGTTACAACTTCTTTTGGTGAAATTGTTGGTAGTTTCTTTATGAAGATGAGAATATGATAGATTTTGTTGGAGGTTTTGCTCGACTTAAGGTTTGATCCAGAATGATTTGAGCACAAGTGCTTGTTAGTGAATTTAACTTCAGTGCAGGTTCTCAATATGAGGGTATGGTAGCTCTAGTTTTTTGCTTGTGCTGTGATTTTTATTGAGCGAATAATTGTATTTTATCCAATTTACAGAATAAACACAAGTGAATTTTCTGCCCGTCAAGTTTCATTATGCTTTTATTATGCTCATGGATTTGTAGCAGAGAACCAGCTTTTGGTTGCTATAACACTTCCATATCTGAATATAGTACTTCCTAATTTGCGTCTGCCAAAGCTAATTTTCTATATAATTAAAGAACTCTCAAATTCTCAACATTCTATAGACATCAATTCACACACCAAACTACTACCTAGAAATTGCTTGTTTATTTGCTGATTAATACATATCAAGTTTAACAACAAATTATTCATGGAAGTTTATATATCTTTTGTGAAATGGGTTTTTGTAATTGGGCTAGCTAGAATATTGTTTTGTAATAATAATATTCTTCAACAGGGCACAAGTAGTGGGTTGGCCACCAATCCGAAAATCCCGACAAAATATAATGGCTACTAACAACAACCAATCAAAGAATAAGGAAGATGCTGACGGGAAACAAGGTTCGGGGTGTCTCTATGTGAAAGTTAGCATGGACGGAGCGCCTTATCTCAGGAAAGTTGATCTCAAAACATACTCCAACTATAAGGAGCTTTCGTTAGCCCTGGAGAAGATGTTCAGCTGCTTTACTATTGGTGAGACCTTTTTATGTTCCATGACTACATCTATCTATATATTTCACTTACCTTGCTAATTTTCAGCTGTATATCAAGCATAACCTTTCCTTTTTCTTACTGGCATAGGGAGCTATAGATGGTGTGTTATGATAGATAGTATTTGAGAACTGTTCATAAATACGACTGTACAAAGAAGCTCAGAACTTTTTCAAAAGTCTTGGTGCGCATTGATGTTATGTAATGATAGCAAGAAGCTCAGGATTCTTGCTTGCAATTAGTACTTTGGTAGCATTCTTTCGTATGCTATTATGTATATGTGAAGCTATTATTCTTTTTCACAGTAGTTGGATGTTTGAAGGGAAGGCTTTTGTGATGATTTGCTTAATCGAGTGCTTTTCCCCTACTTCCTTGCCTTTTTTAATTTATTCAACTACATTTAATGAGCATCCATTTCCATTTCTCCTGATCGTTGAGAAAAATCTAGATGTAGCTATTAGAAGTGATTTCTTAATGATTTTACACTTTTTCATGAAAGTCTCATCCATATCAGAACGGATAGTATAACACAATGCCATTAGTATATTAGCTTTGTTCCAAATTGTTAAATGGGCTTTTAAGCTTCTTTATATATGTTTACTTGTATTGCAATTATTTCCATTTCAGGTCAGTGTGGTTCACATGGAATACCAGCAAAGGATGGTCTAAGTGAGACCAGGATGGCTGATCTTATTGATGGATCTGAAAATGTCCTCACTTACGAGGACAAAGATGGGGATTGGATGCTTGTTGGGGATGTTCCATGGGAGTAAGTACTCAATTCTGAAATCTTGTCTCGCTATAAAATAGTCAGGTTTTTAGTCTTTTTTTTTGAAGGCCAACCATAGGGTAAAGCACCTAAGGGCTTTAACTAATGGAAGAATTATAGATGACAGCACGTCTGGGTAATTAAAATCCTTATTGTGTAATTGAACATTAATTCACCTGTTTATGGCCCTGATATACATGATCAACCTTAGTACCTCACTTTTTCGATGGCTACTACGCACCATGAACATATAGTTTGAGTGCTTAAAGTGAAAGAGGAAGCTCTTATTGATAACCATTAGTGCTTTATCTATTCATCATATTTTAGGCATAATTGGATGTGTACATTTACACCTATGCATATGCTACTCACCATCCTCAAGTCTACAAGAAGTGAGAATCATATTAGGATCTATTACATGTTGCCATAAAGGGGAAAAGAAAATCACTTTAAGTTCAGAAGTGCTTGCTACCATTACCTCTTTTCATTAGCGTTAAAGGTTCATCACAATAATTTCCTTTGCCAAGTTGCTAAAGTTCAAAGTGATTGACACCAGGAGGATTTTAGTTAATGATGAAGTTCCCCTTGTAATTTTTTTCATATAATTGCTGAGAGTGTCCAAGAATTATATCTTGTGGAAGGTTCATTCTGGTAATTTCCTTTGAAAAATTGCTAAAGTTCAAAGTGATTAGTACCATGAGGGTTTTAGTTAATGGTAAAGTTCCTCGTGTAATTTCTTTCATAAAATTACTGAGAGTGTCCAAGAAGTATACCTTGTGGCATAATATTATTAATAGCTGTATGACATTGTAAATTGATGATTCGTCTTAAGTAAATCTCTCTGAGTTTTTTATATTTTATTTTTCTTTTGGTACTGAAATTTTTACACAAACTAGTTTTTATGCACGTGCAGTGCACGTGGTTAAATATCAAAATAATTTAATTTTATATTTATTTCATTACTATAAATAAATCAAATTAATTTTGAGTTCAAATATGTAAAATTGAATTATTAGATTTGCTTTAATTATTATTTAAACATTATTAAAATTAACATAATGGATTTTAACCCTAAACTGGAATCAATATACTTAATTGGGATATCATAATCGTCATAATGAACTATAGTTCTAGTAGTAAAGAAATCACATTTATTATTGCGAAAATAGAATTGCGCAGTAATTTGGGACATTATAAGCTCATGTTTTATAATACACAATCTCAAAAGCAAACATAAAAAAAGAAGTACGACACACATGATATACACACACACACACATGTGAGTAGGATTAGTATAGAATACATAATCTCACATGGTAATAAAACTATCAAATAATAAGTATTTTTAAGTTTAGGAATAGGCTTATATATTTTAACGTTTATATGTAATTATTACCATGGAAGCCGTATGAGCCCTTTTTCTCATAGGCAACCATGTCCTGTTATTTTCCTTTGTCTTTGTAATTATGGCTCTGAGTACTAACTTTGAAAGATGAGATTAAGATGAGATGTAGAGGGATCTTGTTGTTGGATTTAGTTGTACATGGATAGTTATACAATCTAAAAATTAGAATTTGATTAGTATTAGGATAGTTATACAATTTAAAAATTAGAATTTGATTAGGATTAGGATAGTTCAAACTTTAAAGTTATTTGTTTAGGATTAGAAGAAATCATTAAATACAATTATTATATCTCTGAGTACTAACTTTGAAAGATGAGATTTTGAGATGAGATGTAGTGGGATCTTGTTGTTGGATTTAGTTGTAGGTGGATAGTTATACAATTTAAAAATTAGAATTTGATTAGGATTAGGATAGTTATACAATTTAAAAGTTAGAATTTGATTAGGATTAGGATAGTTCAAACTTTGAAGTATTTGATTAGGATTAGAATAAATAATTAAATACAATTTAAATATTAGAATTTGATTAGTATTAGGATAATTCAAACTTTATAGGGGTATTTTTGTCTATCGAAAGATTTTTCCGAACTCGTGCTTTTAAAGGGAGTATGATATGATATGATATCTTAGGCAAAGGCCTCAATGGTAGAAAATACGGGTGTTCCGGGCTCTATGTCAGTGCAGAATCTAGTGAGATGCTTTTACGTATACTAGTCTAGAGTATTGCCTTATCATTGAGCATTCCTAAAAGTTAAACACTTATAATTCTAAGTTCCTTTCTTGACGACGGTAACAATTTTTCTGAATTTCTTCGATTGATTTATTTTAGTTTTATAATATTCTTTAATTTGTTGATCCTCTTCTTGACAGTTTTCTTTGTAAGCTGCTTCTTTCTTTGACTAGTGTTAATATTTTGACCTGCAGCATGTTCACTGAAACCTGTAGGAGGTTGAGAATCATGAAGGGTTCAGATGCAATTGGACTTGGTAAGTACACGTTTCATAAACTAAGTTCAAGTCTTTTGAGTTAGAGTATGACATTTCGTCTAAAAAGCTACATAGTTCAATAAATCAGTAGATACATCTCTATCATAGGGATTGCCTTCTAGCAAAACTGATTCTATAGATTATGACATAGATAGTTCGCATGCTACCACATTTGAATTGCTAGCAAATGGTTAAAATTGAAATCAATTTAATGCAATATGCTGCGCATATCCTGTTGCATTTTCAGGATTTTTGTCAGACCCCAGGTTTAGCCATTCTTAACATTGACACAAACACCATTGAGTACTAATTTGCATATATGTAAGACCTCTGCAATCACCTTAGAGCCATACTTTAGACGCTATTGTTTATGTTGGCATAATTGTTGGTCATCCGTTCATTTTGTTCCTGCAGCTCCAAGGGCCATGGAGAAGAGCAAGAACCGGAACTGATCTCTTCAAGCACAAAGAACACCAACTATTTAAAAGGGCTCTTCCCAAAATCATAATGTTTTTTAAATATGTCCTATCGTCTCTCTTGCGGTTTGTTATTATCTACATGGATCAAAACCTAAAATTAGCTCACTACGATTTCTCAGGGACAAATAGACCTTCCTAGATTTGTGTTCATTTTCTCTATTCCTCATCCTGTTATTATTATGTGTAAGTTGCGCGTGCTTATTGTTTGTGACTTGCTATATCCTACGGCATTGCTTTCCTCCTACTTCCATAAGTTTGCTAGGCTTTATTCAAGGCAGCTCCGACGCACCAAAGCTTCGGAGTTGTAGTGATGGTTGAAGACCATAGTTCCATAGTCTAGCGCGTCCCTGAGACCCGGAGTTATGCAGTGTATTTTTTCATTTTAAAAATAAATCTGCTTCTTTGAATAAGTGGTCGGTGAGATTTGATTCTGTGTTACTTTGCTCTATACTTAATGCTCGTGAGTGATGTGAATGAATCATTGATTGCTGCACTAGGGTATAATGCCTCTGAGCTCCTTGTGAGCTTCTTATATTGTTCTTCATCATCATCATCGAGGAAACTTTGGAGGCATGCAACATGATTTTGGGGCTCACTTATTACAACTGTTGGGAGTATGATTGAAGCCGAAGGCCGTACTCTTTGTCTCCTCTTAGTGGGTTACATTGTGGACATAAGATACTCTTAAGTCCTTTTCAACAACCACTAGAATATTATAATTGATGAGCAAAGTAGTAAAGGAGAGCATAAAAAGGGTGAGGGTTAGGTTTATGTTGTCTCTCATTCCTATCAGAATCTTGTCTTCTCTTTTCTTTGCGGTCATCAATTTCTTAATTATGGCTGTCTGCTGGTTGTTGGGGTCTGATAGCTTCCATTATATTTTTTGTCATTGTGGAGCTGGTCGTTTCAGATTTTTCTTCTTCAGTTTATTTTGTCATTCTTATAGCTGAGGTTGTCTGCTTGTGCTTTTTTGAAAGATTCCTGAATATATATTTTAAGTGTCATTCTGCAGCCTTTTATTTTATATTAGGTTGCGTTTGGATTTGGGGATTTGATTTCAAATTCCAGAATTGAATTCTAAAATTTGAAATCCAGGAATTTCAAATTCAATTTCTTCGTTTGGGAAGCATCCAAATTTGAATTCTAGAATTCAATTTGAAATTCATGTTTGGCAAACTTTAGAATTTTAATTTTAAAAATTTTAATTGGGTTATTTGCCAACTAGTAGACTTCTAATTTCTGAACTAAAATTGTAGTTCGAAGATAATAATACACTCAAATTACATAACGTTTGCATCGAAATTGGTGGAAATAAATACCTCAAATGGTATATCACATATCCAACTAACTTGATATCTAGATAAAATACCTTAAAATCTCAAATGCAGTAATGTCAGTAGTTGACCTAATAATCATCATAAAAATAACCGATATCATTCATCAATAAAACTTTATAAACCCATCCACCACTAACCAAAACAATAAATAAAGTAGAAACTTTAAATATTGCATATAACAATTCAACAAACTAGAGATCTAAAAAATCCAACAAATACAAACCAACAAAAGTTAATATTTCGCCATTACACAATGGCATGCGTAAGTTGCTCTCGCACTAGTTTCTGTAAGACTTTTACATCCGATTCAAATGAGAGTTTCTTTCTAATGCTTATACACTTTCACTTTGTATTTCTTTTGTAGTTTTCTCCCCTCGGTTCATAAAGTCTTGCTTTGTGAGTTCTTGAATCACCTGAAACAATAACAATAAGACCAAATCAGCTCCGTTCTTAAAGACCGTGCATACTTCCAACATCAAAAGAAGGCAACGGTTTTAGCGCCACAGAAGTTCGAGATGCTAAGAAGTTCGAGATGCTAATGAGATGTCAGTCTATAGAAGATACTATCAGTTCTCATTAAGCACAGTTCATACAGCTCATATGTTTCAGTTTATGAAACTGATAAAGTACAATGTTAAAACTAAATTGTTAGATAAAATATGAAGATAATGATTTACCATTAGACCCCGGAACTAATAAAGTACAATGTTAAAACTAATTTGTTAGATAAAATGTATCACAACAATACTTGGGTTGAGCATTTATAGGCCATGGAAAATGTATTTGTTAGATCAAGGTCTGAAACTTAGGATAAATAGTATTATATCAGTGCACAATAATAGAATAGTGAAAGACAATATAGATGATATGCTAGCTTTTATAGTTAATGAAGCTTGCAGGACCCAGTGTGCACAACTCAGAAACCTAGCAATTCCCAGAGCAAACACATAGTGTGTCATTAATGGTTCGACAATCTGTTTTATAGCACAAGAGAATAACATTAGACCAAAAAAATACAAAAAATATCTGACCATTATGAACATAATCATGTTGTAGATTTTACCTTTGTGTTCTGCATCATGCGTAACTAAGGTAGCACCGACACAACTTCTAGATAAACACAAAAGGCCCATGAAATCCTGTTTACCAGGTTATGAGATGTTGAGGGATGAACTCCAAGCGCTAGTAAAGTACAAGGAACCACCGGCATCCAATTTAGAGAGCAAAACACAATAGTTAATATTAAGGGGAAAATGCTTCCAGCCCCCAAAAGCCTAGTGAACGGGCTTCCCACCCCCAAGACTTGGTCAATGGGTGTTTTACCCCTAAAAATAAAGATTTTGTTCTCTGAGCCCCCAAAACACAAAACCCAAGACATTAAAACATGTGAAGACCATAATACCCTTCTCTCTCTCTTTCTTTTTTTATTAAAATATGATGATGATTATTTTATTATTTTTCTCTCTCTCTCTCTCTTTATCATGATGTACCAAGAGGATCTTTAGATAGGTAACCCTAACAATTAAACCCGTAACCTTAACAATTAAACCCGTAACCTTAACAATTAAACCCGTAACCTTAACAACAAATCCGTAACCTACACAACAAATCCACAACCTTAACAACAAACTCTTAACCTTAACAATCAACCCGTAACTTTAACAACCTCCCAAAACAAACAACCAAAATAATAAAAAATAAAAATAATAAAATAATTCTCATCAATCATTTCAACTATCCTCTTGGTACATCATGATAAAGAGAGAGAGAAAACAAAAATAATAAAATAACCCCCATCATATTTTAATAAAAAAAAAGAGAGAGAGAAGATTCACAACCTTAACAACAAACCCTTAATCTTAACAACCAACCCGTAACCTTAACAACCAACCCGTAACTTTAACAACCTCCCAATACAAACAACCAAAATAATAAAAAACAAAAATAATAAAATAATCCTCATCAATCATCATGATAAAGAGAGAGAGACATCATGATAAAGAGAGAGAGAAAACAAAAATAATAAAATAATCCCCATCATATTTTAATAAAAAAAGAAAGAGAGAGAGAGAGGATTCATAACCTTAACAACAAACCCTTAACCTTAACAACCAACCCGTAACCTTAACAATCAACCCGTAACTTTAACAACCTCCCAATACAAACAACCAAAATAATAAAAAACGAAAATAATAAAATAATCCTCATCAATCATTTCAACTATCCTCTTGGTACATCATGATAAAGAGAGAGAGAAAACAAAAATAATAAAATAATCCCCATCATATTTTAATAAAAAAAGAAAGAGAGAGAGAAGGGTATTATGGTCTTCACATGTTTTAATGTCTTGGGTTTTGTGTTTTGGGGGCTCAGAGAACAGATTCTTTATTTTTAGGGGTAAAACACCCATTGACCAAGTCCTGGGGGTGGGAAGCATGTTCACTTGGCTTTTGGGGGCTGGAAGCATTTTTCCCTAATATTAATTACAGGCGAGAAATCAAAAAAATCAAATTTGAAAGTAGTGCAACAAAATAGGTCATAAGTAACAAATATTAAAAACTTCATGCGTCAAATCGATTTGCATTCCACTAATTCATACATTTATTTGTACTTATGCCATAATTGTTGGGGAATCCGAAGCAATCAATCGGATCCCTGCCCTTCCGGACATTGTGTTGAAAGTAGGAAAATATCACAAATAAAGTTCTAACCTTGCAAAAATAGTAAAGGAGACGAACACACAGATTTAACGAGGTTCGGCAACGTGCCTACGTCCTCGGGAGTCACACCACACAATTTTTTTATTAATTGAAGAAGAAATACAAGCTCTCAAACTAGGGTTTAATCTCTCTGAGATTCTTTCTTTCTTTTCAGTCAAAAAGTTCTCTTTTTTCGTGTCTTACAAACCCTAAAAACGTTTGGGGTATATATAGAGTCCTGGTAGAAACAGAATCCAAAACAGTTTAGGAAACTGTTTGACTGCGTCGCGGTCGAAATTCCATAGAGTTGAGCGGTCGACCGCGACGGTCGACTGCGATCAGACGACAGAAGCTCCTCAGATTCCAGAGAGTTGAGCGGTCGACCGCGATTAGACCCTGTCTCTTCTCAGCCTTGTGCATGTTCGCGGTCAACTGTCGCGGTCGACCGTGGATCTCTCAGGTCGTTTTCTTCGTCGTTTTGATTTCAGCTCTCGTCTCAACTTTGGGTCTACACTTGAGACTAACAATCTCCCACTTAGAGACCAAAGTGCCTGCAGTGAGTTCACCCGAACTCTCCCCTTCTTTGCATGTATCTTCTCCCCCAGAAAATTCTTTCTTCAATCAACAATATCCCGGCGATCGTGCTGATCCTTATAGTATGGCTCCGCCTTCATCTTCTACTCGTAAAGACCAACTGAAGTTGCGCACAACTTCAGTTTCTCAATGGTGCCTTCGTCAACATGTCCGTCGGATTTTGACTCCCCAAAATCTTCATTAAATGCAACTTTCTGTCTTCAACTAGCGAGCGTATAAAATGGTATTTAACGTCGATGTGTTTCGTTCTGGCATGATATACTGGATTCTTGGCAAGATGTATAGCGCTCTGGCTATCACAATAAAGAACTCCTCTCTCGTGCTTCAGATCCAACTCTTCCAAGCACCCGTTTAACCATATCATCTCCTTGCTTGCTTCAGTCACCGCGACATACTCAGCCTCGGTTGTAGATAAAGTCATAATCTTCTGCAGACGTGAGACCCAGCTCACTGCTGTCGACACTAAGGTATAAGCATACCCCGTGATGCTTCGCCTCGTATCATGATCACCGGCGAAGTCCGCATCCACGTATCCCTGCAGCACCAACTCATTCCTCCTAAAACATAGTGGCTTGTTCGTTGTCCCCCTCAAGTACCGCATTATCCATTTCACGGCCTCCCAATACTGCTTCCCTGGATTGCTTACAAATCTGCTCACAACTCCCACTGCATGGACGATGTCCGACCTCGTGCAAACCATCACGTACATAAGGCTCCCAATGGCTGAAGAATATGGCACCCTGCTCATATGCTCTTCATCTGCATCTGTCTTCGGCGATT